AAGATCTGTTTTTATTCGTTTATATACTAAAGAGAAAGGAAGTTTTACTAACAGTAAAAATACAGAGATTAATAGTAGTATAATTTAGAAAGAAATGTTAATACATTGGGGTTTATACTTTCAAATTTTAAACTATTTTTGTGAATGATTTTAAAAGTTTGGAGACTATTGGGCTGGTGACTGCTATTAATCCTCCAAATATTGGTATGGAAAAGAACTCTCAGAGAATCCAAGTGGTTAAGCAGTCTAACAGTCCCCCAAAGATGTCCATCTCCTAATCTCCTGAACCTGTGAATATTATATCTTGCATGGCAAAGGGGATTTTGCAGATGTGATTTAGAATATGGACCTTGAGATGGGGACATTTTCCTGGATTTTTCAGGCAGGCTCAATCTAATCCCTCATATCCTTAAAAGGGGAGAACATTTTCTAGCTGGACTCATTGAGAGATGTGGTAACAGAACAGGGTAGATAAACGCCATATGAGAAGGATTCGACCAGCCATGGCTAGTTTTGAGGATGGAGGAAGGGGCCACAAGCCTAGAAAGGTGGGTGGACTGTAAAAGCTAGGAAAGGTGAGGAAGTGGATTCTTCTCTGGAGCCCCAGAAGATGCAGCTCTGCTGACAAGTGATTTAGCCAGTGAGACCTCTGATCTACAGAACTGTGAGATGATAAATTTGTATTGTTTTAAGCCAGTAAATTTGTGGTAATTTGTTATGGAAGCAATAGGAAACTAATACATTCCATCTACCCTAATTCTGAGTGCTAGAGTATTAGGAAAGATCTAAGATCAAATGAATTCAAGTTGCAATCACTGAAACATTTTTTGATCACCATCTCCTGACTTTGTATCATTAGGGGAATAAATAGCAGCAAAGTATGACATGGCAAGTTAACTATATATTATTGGCAAAACTGGAAATAGAACAGGAGCAAGCTCATTGGTCGAGAAAAGGTAAAAATTTTCAAATACAATCTTTGCCTGTTATCTGAACATTATCTACAGAGCCACAAGATATTAAAGACCGAAAAAGCTGATCTTGGAATCAGCTGCATTTGCCCCAAATCTAAAGCACTTAGAGAATTTTAAAACTCACTATTCAACATTTGAACTTCAGAAGGTAAAATTTCCAGGAATGACAGTATCGTGCTGGAAACATTAATGTGCCAGCATGAAATAATATCATTCTGTAGGAGGTAATAAAGGCATGAATTACGTCAAATTGTATTTGGTTCATGGATGTTACTGTGCTTCTTATGGGCAGATACAGCTAACAGGCACAAGAACACCTGCCCATCTCCCTGAGAAAATTAAAGTCGTGTGCGCAAACACCAGTCTAACAAATTAGGGGACTGTTTGTGGCAAAATGAAAATGTGCAGTGTTATAGATACATCTCCTAAGGATATGGAATAGCTCTTGTTACAGCAGAGCATAATTTTTCTCCTGGTCTTGCTCATCACACAGAAAGAACCATTAAGCTATTCACATTACAAGTGGCGGCTTCTACTCCTGTTAGGTAGTATAATATGCTAAATGAACTTGCTGCTATGCTAGATAGTGCTGCCATTATGGACTGTAGCCATTAATTGGTTTGGGGTCATTGGCCATCTCATTTATTGCGAGGACTCTATTCTTCTTTAAGTAAAATGTTCAATAGCATCTCCTATTGAAATGGGACAGACCCAAATGATATGCGTCATTATGCATGTGTCAACGTACATGGGTATGGGTTTTCCTCCATTTATTTATTTAGGGTAAGAAAACAGCATCCATGTTTCTATAAAGTTTATAGAAAGTACTTACAGGTGCCATTGTGTACCAAAGTTGTGTAAAAGTTAGAGAAAAATATGGCACAAGGCAAATGCAAAACTCTAATCCTCAGGGTGATTTAACCCTTTTAGAGCCAAAGCACTAATTGGGGGGAGGATGTGTAGAGGGGTGGCTGCCTTTCTCTTTCCCCCTCTCTGCAGATGCATGTAGATGACACTGCAAACAGAACCATCACTTCTGCTACAACCGTGGTAATAATGTGCTCAGTTAATCCACACAGCATAGAGCCATCCTCTCGAAAAGTCATTCACTTCTTTAAAAACTGGAAGGAAAATAAATATGGTGCAGTAAAATTGTTGAGTAGAGGAATCTATCTGGACATTTCACAAAACATTTCATTATGCTGACAATTCCCAGAAGTACTCTCAAGAGTGCTTTAAGCTGAGGATTACTGCACTGGAGCTGATGGACTTTTTTTGTAGCCCCTTTAAAAGGCAGTGAACCGTTTTTCTATTTTATTTAAATAATGCCCCTTAAAATGGATTTTTAGAGGTATAATAACTCCTTAAGAGTCAGTTATGCTAAACAGTTTCTCTTGATAGAAATGTTGTAAAACTCGTTAACTGCACAATTTCAGATGCCGGCTTGGTGAACACTAACTGACATGTGAATGACCAGAGTTTGTAAAATAAATTGCAATAGTTGTTGTACCACACAGCTAGCATTGCACAAGCTGGAGGCCACGAGGGGCTCCAACCCGACAGAAAATTGCTTCAAGATGAATGAAAAGTGCTTGTTTCTCTTTATTAGTTTTTAGAGAACAATGAAAATGTTGAATTGTTTACAGAGCGCTGATTAAATGTGGTCAGTGGGGCCATGTCCCTATTGCTAACTGTTGGCAGCCCCCTCCCGCCAGCCCCCAACGTGCACACACACACCACTCTGCTCCAGCCCCCAGCCCCCACACTTTGCTCCCTGCCACATGCATCTTCTTATAGGCTATTATGGCTGCACATCTGTGTGTGAAATGTGCTCATTCTGACATTCCACTGCTGCTCAGCGCTGCAGAGGCCTTTGTTAGGTAAAACACTGTTGTCAAGCCTAACAAGCAGATCATGCAATTTGCTGGACACTGTGACAGAGAATAGCCCACGATGAATTGCTTTGGCCTCAAACAATGCCCAGTTTCATATTAGAATACATATGTATTTTTTTTGTTGTGCAGCACTACAAAAAGTCATGACATTTTGCTTTTTTTTTTTTTTTTAAATCAAAGCCTTAAAAAAAGGAAAAAGGTTGCTAGGGTTAGACTACCACAGAATAGCATCTTTACTGTATTTACTTAAGATAACTACTGTCTTATGGCTAAAGGAAAAAGGCATGCCGTGTTCTAATTGCTCATTTGTGGCTTAAATTCCATTTATGTTTTACCAGAAAGCACAGTAAGAGGAAAGGCACTTGCTACCGTCCTGTTTGGTGTACTTAAAGGGGTGGTCAAAACCAGGGCATTTAGGAGGATGTTGCGGAGAAGGATTCTCACTATGTATTTCCACAAAGTAAACAGCTCTTGATGGAAAGAAATATGAGAACTCATTAATAAGCATATGCCCAGCAGGGAGAAAACAGTCTTTTTACCAGACGAAGCTAAATGAATCAGATCCAGAAGATATTTTGGTAACCGAAAAACTTAAGAAAAAGCAAATCACTGCCATTTCAGCTCAACAAAAAGCCTTCCATGGCCCCTTCCTCACTCCTAACCTCTCACTTACATACTTATACACACACACATTGGGGGAATCAGTAGTAACAGGGAGCAGTTCAAATGCTATTTGTGGTGTTCTGACACAAAACATAGCACACACCCTAACGTGCAAGCAGGCTTTTCTTCCCCTCTGTGCAGAACATGCATTCGGAGCCTATTATGTGTATAAACAGTGGCATATGTAATTACCTTTCTAGGGTGGCAATTATTCCTCAGAATCAACAACCAGAGCTAAAGCATGTTCTCCTAAAAGACATTGGGGGATCAATTCTGGGTCAATTACATCAGGCTTTGATTTATCACATAGTGTCAGGTCATGCTAAAAAAAAGAAAGTTTTTAAAAAAAGCATTATGAGGTAAAGGCTAAAGGTTTGACTCAAATTGCTTTGTTTCCAACTTTGCTTTCTCCCAATTGCTCTACCCTTCCCTCATTCTGAAAACAACTGTGATTTGCTGGGTTTTATCTGTTAGATAAAATGTTACTGTTCAGGAATATTAAATGCAATGAATCTGGGCTATGTCCAGATTTAATCTGCTCCCTTCCCCTCCCCCCAACACACACACCTACAAGGCTCTGGGAGTTTCTCCTGGGATGCAGCAGAGGGTAGGGGTCAATAGTCCAGGATCTAGAGTCTAAGAAATCTGGATTTGTGTCCCCATGACATAGGCAAGATAACATACCTCCGCAGTGGATAGTGTCTACTTCAAGTGGTGGTTGTGAGGTTTAAATGAGATAATTAAGTGGGAGAACACATGTAAACCATCAAGCACAGCGCCTGACACACTGAGTAACCAATGAATAGAGTTATTGCTGTTCTATCGATCGACAAGCCAGAGGAGCCCAAGGGGAGCAGCCCCTCCAAAGGCCCCACCTCATGTAGTGAGTGGGGCAAGTGCCAGTGGCTGCAGAGTGGACATTGGTACAAATAACAGGGCTGAACTGGTGAATCCAAGATGCCAATTATGAGGCCCAGTGGACTAGATTATATAAAAATATCCCAGTTTATTTGGACTCATTCTAAGCAGATTGATTGTAAACTACAAACAAATAAAGGTGCTAGTCTTTTCTAGCACCTTAAGAGCAACAGGTGAGAAAAGAAACTCCTTGATCACCAAATGTTTACTGAACACAGACCTATGCACCAGGCACTGTTCTGGGTATCAGGAATACAGAGATGGGCCCTCCAAAAACTCCCAGAACAGGAAATAAATATCTCCAGTTCAGTACAATACAAATTAATAAATAAGATTTCCTGGAAGCTACTTCATGCAAACTGAAAGTGACATAACAAATATCCAATATCATAATCAGGAGTTGGGAGGAATAGGACGAATCATATAAGTAAAGTTACTGGTCAAATTCATTTTTAGAAATTAAATTAAAAGGGATGGTATGAGAATTCCCATTAAATTATTTAGTGAGCATTATAATACCACCTTCAAAGAACACATTAAATCCATTTTATACAGAGCAACATTGTTTATTTAATAAGATGGAAACATCACTTACACAATTCATTTCTGAAACAGCACACAGCGCTATTGGCAGTATGTATTGGCAGCTTAATTAAGAAGTCTGTTGATGGTGGGTAAAAAAGCTGGCACATTTTCAATTCGGATGGACACTACTCAAGACAAAGACATGTCTATTATTGGCTCATACATACTAAAATGTGTCAGACTCTACATAAAATGTCTAGTGTTACAGTCATATCAATGTGTTAACACTGGAAAAATCATGACATACTTATTCTTAGGTAGAAATTAATTTTTGGAAAAACTGTATAATCATTCAACTTATGGAACACAAAGAACAATGAAAACTAAAATAATTACTTAACCAAATTTTCATACACGGCCATTGCCCAGGTGCGCTTTTCTCCTCTTCTGTCCTATCTCAGTTCCGTAAGTGACTCCCACAAGTTTGATCCAAGCCTTCCTCTTCTCCATGTTAATAACTCACTTGGAAAGGCAGGGCCCTAAGGCATGGAAGGTAGAGGCCTATAGAAACAACAGGTGTAATTCACCTTTGTGCTCCCCAAGACATGTGCAAACAATGTGTTTTTCCAACAGACAATCTACACCTAAGGGAAAAAATAGAATTTGATTCAAATTAACTCAAACTATAATGTATTAATATCCCTAAAGGCTATTGAATATTTATAAAATCAATAAAATGGATCCTGTCTATCAGAAATCCAACAAAAAAATGAAATTAAACTGCCCTGAGTTGCCCATATTAGGAGGTCTTTGTGTTTGTTTTTTGTCTTGTTTTTTATTAAAGGGACTTAAAATACTTACAGAATACACTGTTCAGTTCATTTGTTTCTTGTCTTAGGGATATATCTAATTAAGAGCAGAAGAAAAAAATATGTGCCCTGAAACTAATTGTAAATTCATTGAAGGCAGACTCTCCATCTTATTTGTCTCTCTCATTTTCTCTCCCCTGTTTTGGGCAGTGATTCACACACAGTAAGTACTCAGTTAAGTTAAAAGGCAATGCATGTTTCAATTCACATTAATTTGGAGGGGTTACATTGATTTAAGGAGCAGTTGAGACAAAAGGATGGATTCAATCTTCTCTGATTTCTGGCCGGTGAGGCACTCAGTCTTGAAAACTTCCTCTGCTGAAGCCTGCATGACAGCTGGCCATCGTGGCATTCTTAATTCAAAATTCTTTGATTTGTTTCCATTTTTGCTGAGGGTAACAAGATGCTTCTTCAATGATTATCTGTCCAACAAGGAAACGTAAAAGGTAATTTCAAGCAGGTATTCAGTGGCTATCTGTCCCAGTCCTAGGGCCGTACATCTGTGAACAAAATGGAAACCAATTATTAATCCAAGACTTCCTGAGAACAACTTTTGAGAAGTACAATGATTAGCCTTTTGCTGCTCACTAAAATTTATTTAGCTCAGCATTTCAAAAACACTACTAGGATCTTTAATAGTAAGAATGCTATTTAAAGCTTTCTTTCCCTACTTTAAATAATGATTTTGAAATCCATTCGACCCCCAAGCATAGATCCAAGCCTAATAAAATCAAAAATACCATATACCTGTGTATCTTGAAAAGACCGTTTCCCTACCCAGGTAAGGATTCTACATTTTCTTTCCTTGCCTTGATAAATAGAAATAAAGCCCCTTCCGAGGTCTCAAGCCCTACTCCTTTGAGAACAGTAAAGTCCCTGCCTGTGTCCCACCACGTGGCAACATATGGATGGCTGGGAAACAACAGCTGCAGGTAGAGAAGCCTGCTGTGAAGCCACTGGCCAGGCAGGAGCATGTTTTCTTCAGCAAAGGCTCTGCACTAACCAGGTGGGTAAAAGACAGAGGCACACATGAACACCTCAGACATCAGCTCCAGTAGCAAAGACCCTCTGAGAGCAGCATGGTAGCATCCAAGTGAGTCCCACCTGGGGCTTTCCAGTCACACCTGTGTACATGTGCATCAGTAACACCCTCTTGGACCAAGAGAACCAGACATCTTTACAAGAAGTATTTCTACTTTTTCACATGCTCAGGAGCACTGCAGTGAGATATAAAGACAACAAACCCACAAGCAAGCTTAGTCTTAACATGACTTATTCACTAATTTATCTGAGTTTTTTAAAAATAGGCCAAAAGTGATTGTATTTGTGTTTAAGACACTCTTCAGTTTATCAGCAAAAATGTCATACTACTCGAGCATTTAAAATCCACCTGGAATCATTTTAGTTTCTCCCTTCTCTAATATTACATCAAACTTGTCATTGAAGCCTGTTAACTTTTTTAATTGAAATGTCTTTTTGCAGTCCCCTTTTCTTCTGCATCTCTACTATATGCTGCTCCCACCACCCCTCCTTGGTCAGGCCCTCTTCTCCTCAGCCTGGAATGACAACCTCCTAGCTATGCCTAGGTCTTCTCTACTGTAGTCTCAACTCCTTCCAAGTGACGCTACCTATCCTGGGCCTCAAGCTCAGCCATTCATTCCAAGGTTCTTCTGACACAGGGCCCCTGAAGTCGCCACTTAAGAGGCTCAGCACTGCTGTGACCTTCAATCCATCCTCATCAGGGCAGACCAGAGACAAGCAACCTCAGTCCACCAGATGGTGAGACTGGAATTCATTATTTGGCCACAAATGCACTGAATTGTGCTGAGTTTACTCTACACTGTTTCTGCATTTCTCCATTTCCCTACAAAGTCCAGACACATTGGCCCAATCCTCAGAACTGGCATCTGCCCCGACTAGCTTTCCCATTTCCTACAGTGCCTTGTGCTTTTCCTAAACCTATATCTACTTGATCAGGGCCCTGGTAAAACCCTTTCTTAGATTCTATCCCAGGATGCCAGCTGCTGGCTGGGACCCAGCTGTGAGAAGATTCCCCACTACCATGATACCACCACTCTTGATGCTGAACTTACCTGCTATCTACATTCCAGTTGGCTTCTTGCTGAACTGGATCTCCTCAGATACCAGCACCTTCCCTGTACCAATCCCAAGATCATCACATCCTCTTGGTCACCGAGGACTGGATTGTTGGCTAACCCTAGTAAAGCCAGGTTCCCAGTCCCTGATACACCTAATCTTGGCTTTCTCCGGTTCCCTGAAAACTTACGTTGCTGAGAGCCTTCATAGGAAGCCCCTCTTCCCAGCCTAGAAAGTTTGTAGCAAATTATAACAAATAACAGGTATAATTGTATATATTATAGTGATTTTATAATATATATTTTTATTCATTTATTCATTCAATTAGTCAGCACTTATTAATTTATTCTTAGGTCATTCCATTAAATAATTGAAGAGGCTAATATTAACTTTGTTTTTAAAAGAAAATCTCACATGGCTTCCTATGGCCTAACCCCTGCCTGATTTTTCAAGTCTTTCACTTTTTTTTCTAGTGTTCCAACATAAAGTCTCTGCTTCAAACACACAGGTCTACTGACCTCAAAGCTCATTCTAAATCTTTATTCACATCCTGTCTTTTGCCTTCTTCTTAATTAGCTCCTTGTTGTCCTTTGGTATTCCACTTGCAACACAATCTAAGAATCCTTCCCCAAGAAACAAAACCACACTGATTTATCCCTTATCTGGATTCCTCTGGAATAATCAATATCACCAAGTTTAGTACTTGTTTTTTACTAAATGTTTCACATACATTATATTACATTAGCTCCCCAGAGGGACTATCAGTTCTTTGGGATAAAGGCCATGTCTAGTACTTGTTATGGTGCCTCCAAAGTACCTGGTGCTGGCCTCTAGAGGGAGAAGAAAAGCAAAGTTCCACCCCCATCTTCTCCCTACCCTGCCCCAATCCAGCCCCACACCCGAAGAGGAAAAGATACCAGGTGACTTAATCAAGTTACCAAACTCAACTAAACCTCTTATAAGTGGGTGGAGCTTCAAGTGTATTGAGAGAAAAGGTTAAAGCCACGAGGCTCTAGTCTTTTTGGAGTTCGTCTCTTAGGGTTCTCACTCTCTTCGGTGTACGTCCTTCGACTTTCATGTGCCAGTGTGATAAAACTGGTCTGAAATTGCCTCCCACTTGAGAGACCTACACACACACACACACATACAAACAGCCCTCTCCTCCCCCAGATAAGGCCTAGGGCAGACTAATTAGACCAGCTCTACCTTAAACCTTTCCATTTCTTTTTCATTTTTCTCCTGTCTCATCTTGACACTAGAGAAGTAGGATCTAAGGAGCTGGACCCAGGGGAAAGGGACCAAGGAGGCCAATATGTGTGCAAGGCACAATATGCCCAAGCAGCTCCACATGGATAGCTGAGTTCATCAGAGACTGCATTAGGTTTGGGGGAGTGGGGCCAGGGCCCAGGTAGTGTAAGAATATATGTGTATGTATTTGAAGTCTATCTTGTGTTTATCTTCTCCAAGTACCTGTGGCCCCAAGAGACACCTGGGCAAGGATCTGTGGGTCCATGTCAATATAAATACTATCTAAGTATGTTCTCAATAAATACTTATTAATTTTTCTATAGTAAATAGTAAATGTCTAAATTTTATCAGAATAGCCAAGAATTCTGAGGAACTCTGATGTTCTAGGTCAGAGTTGTTTATGATTCATGTATTGAGTACCTGTCTGTCAAAATCTTAGAGTAATTTTATGTCTATGTAGGCATTTCTCTAAGAACACACTTTTTTTTAAATTTTAACTTCTTGATATACATTGTAGTTGATTTTCATGACCCTTTACCTGTTCCTCTTCCTCCCTCCCTCTCTCCCCTCCTCCCCCCATCATATCTATTCACTTGTAAGAATACACTTCTTACAACATAGATCTTGGAGTCTGAGATCTTTTGGAGAGTAAGGATGCAAGCAAAATCCTGGGGATTTTGCAAGACTCTCCTAAAGATTAAAGCCAGTGGACTTTTTTTTTTTTTTTTTTTTCTTTGTCTTTTTCGTGACCGGTAAGGGGATCACAACCCTTGGTGTGGTGTTACCCGCACCGCGCTCAGCCAGTGAGTGCACTGGCCATTCCTATATAGGATCTGAACCCGCAGCGGGAGCGTCGCTGTGCTCCCAGCGCTGCACTCTCCCGAGTGCACCACGGGGCCGGCCCAAAAAGCCAGTGGACTTCTACTGTGAGATTTTGCATTAGCACTTGCACATGACCAGAGTCCACTGTAGAATCATAATACTAAAGATATCTCATGTATTTTGAATATTTAAATATATCATGCATGCACTACATATATATACACACAACTTTAATATGATACTACTTGAAAATAAACAGATAATCAATTTAGGCTTATTCCAAAATCATAAGATCATTCATCACTTGGATATGTCTGTGGTCAAAACTCCACATTGAAACGATGCTTTTGTTAACATGTGATGTAGAGACTGGCCAGTTGTCCTCTAATATCTATTCTCGCTCTCTTCCTTTTATTAATAGAACCCCTAAATTTTAATGGATGCATAGTTACAAAAACTATATTTTCAGGCCCTCTTGGCAGATAGGTATGGCTAGTGGGAAGTGAAAAGTTAGGAGTACACTTCCGTGAAGAACCCTTAAAGAGAATGTTCATGCATCTTCAGATATATTAATGAAGCCAATACTCAGGAATAGCAGAGGAATCAGATACTAGTTTATTTCTCCCCTGCCCAACGGTCTAAACATAAGCAGTCCAGAGCTCATACAGCAGCTCCATTGTGTCAAGGAGCTACTTCTATCTTGTTTAAGGCACTGTATTTTGGGATCTCTCAGTCAAGATATAGTTAGTCTGCTGTAACAAGTACAGCACGATAATTCCAGCTCTGCCACTTCTTAGCTGTCCAACCTTGGACAAATTACTTAAATTCTATGAGAATACTTCAGAAAGTTTGTGGAATGGAACTAAAAGATAATACTAATCTTTCCATGAACTTTTTGTATACTCCTTTGTATAAACTTATTTTTTTAATCTGTACCTACTTCATAGGGCTGTTAGCAACATCATGATCCATGTTTCTCGCTCTCTCTTTTTTTTTTTTTTTTTTGGTTCTCATTATATCCCCAGCTTCTACCACAGTTCCTGAATAAATAAGCATTCAATAAGTATTAGCTATTATTGTTTACATGCCATATCTAGACAAATAATGCCATATCTTAACCACTAACCATTCAATTTTCAATAAAGATCTGGTATAATACAACTAGTCAACAAGGTACGCATTAAAGCGATCACATTTTCTGACCTAAATCTTGGAAAAAACACTTTTGTCAGACCATGTTTTCTAACTTCTGAATTATTTATATGAAAACTCCTATATGTTGAACCGCTATTTGTCAACTTAACAAACTAACTTAACTCTTTAAAATTATCCA